TCTCTCACCTACCTTAACTACTTTAACAGTCTGCCATCTTGGAAATGTTCACACATTTATTCATTTACGGCCGTACAGCTTGCAGGATGGTGATCGTTTTAAATAAATAATTTTATGACTAATTATTTTGAACGAGTAAATTGCGTGGGCGATTGCAACAGGATATTAAAGGCGTATGCTACAGTGAAATATAGGCCATTTTTCAGACAAGATGAAAATTGTATAATAGAAGTTACTTTAACTTTGTATTCTTTAAGAATATCATAGAAAGTTTAGAAACATACTGTTATCATTTGCCTATAGCATGTGTAAAATCTGAACTTTGAAAAAAAAAAACATTTACTATCTAATTTCTCTAAAGATTTCTAAAATAAACGTGTTATTGTTGTTGCTGTTTTTTATTTTTGTTTATTTATTAATTTTTTTTTTTGTTACACGGTATCAACAGTATCACGAAAATTGCATGATAACTGATTTCTTTGACTGTTTTTCTGGTTTTAAGCGGATTTTAATACGTTATTTTGAACATATACCTCGGCGGTAGATCCATTTTACCAGCTTGATTTTTTCAACTTACGTCACAATTTGAAAAAACAAAATGGCAGAATCATGTGCTAGTTCCCAATATGCCGCCTTTTTATGCCAATGGTCTTTTGTGAAGCATAATAGCCGAGGAGATCAAATCGATTGATTTTATGATACAAGAATCGATGCTACATGCGAATGGCACAGTCGTAATACTCAACTTCATCATACACCTTTAACACGGTAAGCAATCAGCAAAAACGTTTTTAAAAAATGTTGTAAGCTCATGATCACTAGTAAATTATGAAAATGAAAACTGTATGAAGGCGCACTCGTTTAAAACGAAATTGTGATGACTGTGTTTTACTGATATGTAAGTTTGGGTGATATGTAAGTTTGGGTGATATTTAAGTTTGGGTGATATTTAAGTTTGGCTGATATTTAAGTTTGGGTGATATTTAAGTTTGACTAATATTTAAGTTTGGATGATATCTTAGTTTGACTTATATTTAAGTTTCGATGATATATTCGTAACAGGAGCTGTGATTAGACACAAGTTATTACAAGGTATTCTTTATTAAACTAGATTTGATTTATATATTAATTAAATATAGAGGTGATTTTAATGTTTATACGAAAAATGAAGTTGAATTCTTCAACGTGTTAAAGAAAATTCAGTGAGTTCATCTAATTGTATTTCTTTTTGAATCTTTTTAATCATCTAGTGCTTTCTTTAAACAGCAACGTATACAGTACACTGTATATAAGTACGTTAATGAAAAAAATGATTCTTTCTACTGTAAACAGTTCTTTTTTTGGGTATGTAATAAATAAATAATTATATTCGTGTAGCTTCAGCTTCAGCACTAACTTAATTGAACTCGTTGAATAAAATAATGTTATGCTCGCAAAAGGCTCGCATAATATAATTTTATTCAACTCGTTCAATAAATTCAGTAAGGACCTACACTCATTCTATTTTGTACATTTGTTCACTTTTCACCGAGAGCGTGCCTTTTCATCGCATATTTTACCTTTACTGTCCGCACAGGCAGGTTGGTATGAAAAAAAAAAAGGAGAACGGGAAATTATAAAAAAAAAAAGTCACCGAATTTAAAATATATTCTATAAAATGTGGAAGTTACACGTAGGACGGACCCATGTTGGGGTGGGTGTCGTCAAAAAGTCATCCACTCTGAGGGTGATTTCATATTGCAGTGTTCCAGTGCATATCTTGTTGTCGCATACTGTTTTCATCGTTATATGGTTTGATTATTTCATAAACTTCACCTTGCTTTATTACTTCTGATTTATATTATTATTTATATTTACAAAGAAAAAAAGCACACAAACAAGCATGGATTGGAATCCTAGACCAGCAGAGGAATTATGGGAACTTATCAGTAAGAACGACTCTCCGTCCATTTTGAAGGGGATCCTAACAGAAGAGTTGTTTCACAAACTGAAGGACAAAAAAACTTCATTTGGCGGTACACTGGCACATTGTATGAGTTCAGGTGAGATATATTATTTTCAACATTCGAGAAAACAGCTCACGTACGACTATATCGATTTCATTAGAAAATACATGTTAATTAAATATTTATTATAGTTTCTAATGAGAAACTGTTTATTGGCTTGCGATATGAATACTCTAGTAATTAACCATTTTTTTGTTCCTTCGTTAATCAATATTAAATAACTTCAGTAGAATTATGTTGTTGTTTCAAAATACATAAGAAAAAATACACTAAAGTATATTGTTATATTTCGAAATGTTTGCAGGGTGTTTGCATTTTCGTAAAAACGCAGGTATTTATGCCAGCGATCCCGAGGCGTATAGTGTGTTTGCTGACATATTCACTGAAGTTATAAGAAGGTATCACCGTGTTGAAATTTTAAATCATCCGGAACCTTACTATGGGTCAGAAGAACAAATAAGAGCCTTACAGAATATTGATCCTGATGGTGAAACGGTCATATCTACACGTGTACGCGTTGGCCGAAGTCACGCAAAGTACCCATTTATACCCGTATGTTCGTTACAGGTAATTCAGATTAGTTCACTTTCCTAATAAAACTTAACTTTCTTTAGATGATCGACTACATGCATGTGGTTACGCGTAATTAGGGCATCTCAGAGACAATTTTCAGTTTACTGGACCTCTTTATAACGGTCTATTTACTATTTTAACTGCTGAATTTGTGTAATTGATTTGCCCTGTAATGAATTTGAAACATTCCATGTTATATATGAACTACCAACATTATAGAGACTGGTCAGACGACGCGAACTTGTATGCTAACCAGAATCTATGCAAACCACTTCCGGTGCCAGCAGATTAAAGTTTAGTTTAGCGAAGAAGGTCTGCTGCTCCGAATAAATTGTTTTTAATTCACCGTACCTCATAACCCTTCGCAGCTTTTCCACTTATGTAAGTTTTACTTTTCAAACATCTTAATTAAGCAGCATTTAAAACTAAAACTTTCACGTACACTTATAAACTCATTAAATTGCAAAAAAAAAACGCTAAAAGAGTACAACAATAATAATAATTGTCCTAATATCACTTGATTTTACTTTTGTTTCTATCAAATTCTTTTTGATCTTAAATAAAAGTGAAATGGAAGGTGTGGTGACAGGGACTGACATAAAAATATCGCCTACTTTTGGCCGCTGTGGCCATTCAAATCCGTTGAAAAAGCTATGGAGGAGCACATTTGTCTCGGAGCACATTTGTCTTACGTAAGACCAATGCGGTCGCATTTGTCCCACGTGAGACAAATGGGACCTCAAATGTCTACCCCAAAAAACTCATTTGTGTGATAAATGTGCTCCGATCAAGTTTTTTAAGGGACCAGAAAGCACATTTGTCTCATGATTTTTAAGGGACAAGAAAGCACATTTGTCTCATGCAGATTTTTTTCGAGGTTCGCCGTTTCGCCAAATGTAATCAACAATAGGTTTGCAAATGTTTTTTTATGAAATCTTAAACCTACAGTGGAACTATCAATTATAATATCTCTAATTCAAGAAATTTGATTGGCTAAACCTGAAGGCAAACATTGAAACATACGGAATCCCGTTCACGATGGTACAATGGTAAAAACGAGATGACACAATGGCATGATGATGAAAACGCGATGGAACGATGATGAAAACACGATGATACAAACTTGAAACAACGATTGTACGATGTTGAAACAGCGATGGCACGATGATGAAAACGTGATAGTACGATGGTGAAAATGCGATGGTACGATGATGAAACTGCAATGGCATTATGTTGAAAACGCGATATTATTTTCAACATCGTGTCATCGCATCATTCTTATATGAGCATCGTGCCATCATTGTTTCATCATCATGCCGTCGTATTTTCATCATCGTACCTTTGCGCTAGAAATCACCATTGTACCATCGTGCATATCGGTTTCAGGGAGACAAAAATGTTACGGATCACCGTAATCGGGCGATATTTGAACGATACAATATCGCGACTCGTTTCGCATCTCGCCTGAATCTCACGTCTCGCTTCGAATATCGTACGTCGACGCGAAAGAGGCAATATACCACTAAATAGTATTCCCTTTATATTCTATATAAAACAAATCCTTATCTCATTTTAAAGAGTTATGATAAAACTGATATAAAATGATGAAAGAAACATTTCTAGCGTCATATTTGTTACTGTAAAATCACTTAAGAATTACAGTGCTGTGACCACCATAACGAAGACTGAAATTCACTTAATCAAATACAACCTTTACTCGCATGTTTTCAACCAAATGTCAAAAACGTTTCCATAATGAAATTTAAATAGAAAATAGCTTGACGTTTTGGAGTCTATAGACCTTTTTACGACGCGGTCCGTTGCTATGAAAAATCGACCGGAATTAGAATTTTCTCGCGCATGCGCAACCTGCGTAGGGCAAAAAACTGCATCGCTCTACATAGAAATATAGTAGAATTTCATAGACAATTCCGACTTAGTTCAAGGTAAACTGTAGAAAATTATATAAAATAGCTTTAAACAAATATAGAAAAGGTGACTTTATAGCTTTGTGGCGAAGAATGCCATAAAAGGCATGGAAAAGATACTTGTTTAAGAATTTATGATCACGGACCTGACACTGAGATCATTTTTTTAAGAAGACGTGGAAATATATCTATTAGCAAATGGAAAGTTAACGTATTTGCTGTTGAAATAGTTCATATAAAAACAAAAGAAATTTTATAACATGAAATCGAGATTAATTATCATTCTGTAAAAAATATCAGAACAGGTGATAATGCATTTTTAGTGTTCAATATACCTGATTATATCCTTTATCCGATTTGCCTGTGATGCAAACAGAAAAATTTAAGTCACATAAATAGATTTTAAATAATTATTTTTTTTTTCAAAATCTTGAGAAGTTAAGATAGGTTGTTTGGAAGAGACATGCACATAACACACATTTTTCCGCTTCTCCGTAATACATGTTATTTTTAATAATGCACGTCACACAATTTTTCTCTTCTCAAAATCCGTAAACATTGATCGGTATATTTAAAAGTTACATTATTTACCATTTTAATAAACGTAACTGATAAACTATATCATGGTATTTAAACGTCCAGGTTGATGCCAATCTGTTTGACACTTGCCGTCTGACCAATCCAGTTATTCAAAGGAAGTGTACAATACAAATTGCGTAATATTATGTAATACATGAGTAATAAAATTTTATCTTTAACACCCTGCTGTTTCAATTTAAATTACTGATGGAAAAGTCGTCTAATGATACCTTAAACAAACGACATGTGCGGCCCTTTTTGACCATTGAATTATTAGTCTCGCACATTTTCGTAGATCTGTTAAAAAATAAATTCACGTTTTCAGTACTTTCCGCCTTAAGTCATCCCAAAATTAATATTTTTTTGGGTGACATAACATGAAATCGCATCTATAAAAGCCTTAAAGTATGATAAACTGTAGATATCGTTATTGCCTTTTGCCCTACGCAGAATGCGCATGCGCGAAATGCAACATTCGTTGCTATGGAAAATCGTATTGTAAAAAGGTCTATAGCCATGCAGTGTGCAAAAAGTGTCAATAACCTGTCCGCCATTACTTAGGCGACAAGCCCAGATGGCTCCCGCGCTGGTTCCTTTGTCATAGTCAGGTATTTGAGAAGCACATGCACGAAGCGATGCACGAGAGACAAGAAAAGCCGCTTTCCGGCAAAACATGAAGCGAGCCGTGAAATTTCGTGGTAAGGGATACTTCGACATTGCGAGATCTCGTGTTACAGTATCGTGCCTCGCTTCTGGTCTCGTCGGAATGTCGTGTCTCGCCCGATTCTGCGAGGTCCGATATTCCATAATTATGGCATTAACCGGATTCTTTTAGGAACTCATGCACGTTGTAAGTGCTTTTCAATGGCGGATCTGAAAGCATCACTTCTCTGAAAATGGCGATATTTTTATATGTTTCTGATAAAACAAAATACGTGTGGGATGGTCATCTCATTTTCTTCCTTAGATCATTTAGTCTCTGTGGTCGGGTGATTTCAAAAATCTATTTGCCCCTACCCACTGTAGGTTTGACACTCACTCGGGTACCGCCTCCGTGGTCGAGGGGTTAGAGTCGATGACTTCTAATCCATTTACCTCTCTGGCGTGGGTTCGATCCCCGGGAGATGCTTTGGTAGTTTAGCGCGGAGGAAGGGAGTCTAGTACTGGTGTAACTCTCAGGAAACTACCCGCCTATATGACTGAAATACTGTTGGAAAAAGGCGTAAAATGAAACAAACAAACAAAACAAACAAAAGACACTCACTCGGAGCGTCGAACTATTTATGTGAGGAAGATTGTCCAGGGTCCAAATGCAGAATACCTATCCGCGTGCGCACGTAATAGTTATCGCATGAGCACGCAATAACTATTCCTTACGAACGTAATAGCTATCGCGTTCGCACGTAAAAGTATCGATTGGCCAAGTTAAAGCTTTCGCGTGCGCACATAATAAATAAGAAAATCCTAAGTCCCTTTTATGCCACCGTAGATACTACCTTCTTGTTGCTTAGAATAATTCCTAAATTATCTATAAAACTTTGAGCATCGGAAAGAAACGTGTCACAATTGATAACGATAAAAATCTCGCTGCATATGTGTTTGGGTTCTGGATACTGCACTGTTAGAAATTTTCATTGTGACAGGCAGAACAGGGATTTTCTTTAAGTTAATATGGGACTCCTATGCAGAGGTAGGAAGTTTTTGATTGACCGGAAGTGACCTAAAAACGGTATTATAAATACAGACAACACAGAACAATGACTGGTTGCCAGGAAACGGACGGGCATAATTATTACCTTTTTAGAATTTTATGGAAGAATGTGAGACAAATGTGCTTCGAGTGTCCTTTCTATTGTGTGTCGAACACATCTGTCTCATTTCCCATTTTTCGCAAATATGAATGTTTACGAGCACATCGGTCACATCTCGTGAGACAAATGTGCTCCGAGACAAATGTGCTCCTACAAAGCTATCCGTCAAGCTAACTTAAGGACGATCGCTCTAAGCAGGTTAAAAAAAAAAGAACATCAAAGAAGTAAAGCTGAAAAAGTCGTCATATGACTGTAAATGTTAAATTAAGAGAGGATGAGACTGAAGATGTTGACATAGACGATCTAGCTGTACTGGGTCTTTGAGTACATCCGCATAGATGGTAATACAACTGTGTGTAGAATTAACACTAGAACACTTGTGTCCGCATACACAACAGGTTTTAACACTAAGCATTCTGGCAGCAACTGCTTTTAACAATGCAACCAGTGTAGACCTAGATCAGCCGGCACATCCGTACATATTTTGAAATTTACCCTTAAAATGTCCATATTTCGCATTGTAAAAATTATAGTTTAGCAAAACGAGCTTGAGATAAATGTGCAATAATTACTCGCACATGTGTCGGGCATGAATAATGAATGCAACGTGCAATAACTTTATAAATTGTGCATGTTTTTATAATACAGTTCATAAATGTCTTAAAGGTCTATTATATACTTTCTTATCTACAGCATAAAATTTCCTTTAAATATATTCATAAATATTTATGACTTCCCGGTAGCAAGTTAATACGCAGGTACGCATTCATTCTTTTTAACATGCATTCATCTTACTTTATACATTCAATATAAACATTTACATTCAATGCAATAAAATAATCTATGTATAAATTTTAATCGACAATGATTTTAATCTCATTTTATTTACGAAACAAAGTTTGTCTAACAAATAAACGGTATGATAATTAGGGCACAAAAAGCGTCGGAAATAAGGGCAAATATGATTTTTATAATGCTTCAAAATTTCTTTAAAAGAATGTAAGATGTTTGTTGTCTGAAGAAAGTAGCGATAGGTGTGAAATTACTTTTCATAAAAGAAGCTAAATGTAAACAAAGTAGTATTTTCACTTCCATACAAAATACTTATTCACTATAACTGTACTCATTGCCAAAAAGCAACAGATGAACTAGATGGTTCAGGTAATTGGCCAATAAGTAACGTTTTGGATACTATTAAAAGTACATCAAAATAATTATTAAAAAAAGTTTTTGAGAAATATTAATAAAAGCATTTCTGAGGCATAATGGGCCTTTAAAGACTTACCATCAACCTGCTAACTGAACCGGAAAAAGATTTTGCTTTTGCCACCATTAAAGATCCTGACTGTTGTGATATTGTTGTTATACTGCAATATATGTGTTTGTAAATATTTTTTTAATTTTTCTTTACTTTCTCACTTTATATGGTAATTGTAATTATAATAATCCTTGTATTATATGTACTTATAGCTTTTAATTAATTTGAGGACTACCATGAGCTTTTGCAGCTCTCGGTCCAATTCTTTTCTGCTTTAAATTGTGAATTATTAACATGTGCACTGTTTTATATCTTGAATAAAAATATGTTTAAACCAAAACGAGTTAAATCGTATGCACACACATGCACAGTGCTTTCATTGGAGGGCAGGTATTAGGTACCCGCTCTCCAGTTACCACACTGTTTGTCGGAAATAAAAATAGAGCATGCTCATTGAATGGCTCAATTTCTTCTGGGTTTTACTTATTGAAAGGGATAACGATAGAAAAGTCATATGCAGATGCTCTTCCATTGGTTACTTTTTTGGGGGTTTCATATTATGACGACAAGGAACGTGTTTTTAATGTTGCCGATGATACAAAAGAGAAAGAACCTCAAAACAGCATAGATGATTCGAATTGTTGTTTCTTGTGTGTTCGTGTAGTTTGTTAAGAATTTCTTAACATATGAACCGTAATACGTATTAATCTCGTGATGGGATCTCCTTTTAACAGAGGCTCTTTGATAATAACTAAATAAATATACAATTTATTGTTTAAGAACTTAGTCGACATGGAGAAAGAGACCGCTTGCGCCTTGAACTCACTAACTGGTGAACTGGCTGGGAAATATTACTCACTGGCAGATTTGGACAACGCAACAAAAGAACAATTAATAACTGACCACTTTCTCTATAGACACGATGACGAGTATGTATACACGGTGTTTTCGGTCTTTTCTTGTTTGTTTTAGCTTTGACTTCCGATAAAGTTACAGGCTATTTACTATCCTTTTATCTTTACTTGCAAGACATGTAATTTGGTCGTTATGTCATTAGAAGAGCTTTTGCATAAATTGTGTCTTAATTTACTTATTGATTTTAGAACGTTGAGAGATGCTGGCCTTTATAAATTCTTGGACAAAGGAAGGGGCATCTTCTTTAATGAAGCTAAAACATTCATATGTTGGGTCAACGAAGAGGACCACGTACGATTAATCTCCATGGAGACAGGAGGTGATATAGCGTCCGTATATTTACGCCTTGTAAAGGTAATATTAATGGTGTTAGTTCAAATAGTAATATATATCTATTGCATATACGATGAAAGTCAGGTATAAACACACACGAGCGCGCATGTACATACACACGCATGTACGCACTATTTTTATAACGAACGAATAATCCGTCTATTAATATAATGGCAATATTTTGGTATACATCACCTGACAAGAAAATCACGCGGAATCAATAAAGATAAATTGAAATGACTAGGTAGAAGAGTATATTTAATTTTAGATAACAAAAAAGTACTTTTGTGTTAAAAATATTTAGCCTATTCAGAGTATTTGTGTTTGTCTAATATCTCATCTTAAATCCCGACATGAATTTGATAAATTATCCTTGCCCTTTTTAATATTTCGCGCGTGCGATTTTTTTGTTCTTGTTCTTGTTATTTCGTTTGTTAAAAAATCATATTTCAGTTTTATTAAGTTATTTTTACTTATTCATTTTATCACAATGTTTTCATAAGGCTATTCGAGAGATGGAGAAAAGGTTGACCTTTGCTAAGAAAGAAGGTTACGGATTTTTAACTTTCTGTTCAACAAATCTAGGAACAACATTGCGAGCTAGTGTTTTAATGGCAATTCCGAACGTTTGTAAACAACCCAACTTCTTGGACGTTCTAAACAAGTACAACATACAAGCTAGAGGTCAGTATACAAAGAGGCACACATCTAATTCATTAATGGCCGGGTTGCTCAGGTGCAAACCAGGGTTATAGAATGGCGAATGTCGGGCGGGAATACCAGCGAAGAAAATATTTTTGTAACAGTTTTCTCAGCATCTGCTTATCACAGCCTCTTGCTATTTGGAATGCAACATTCACATGTAGTCCCATACGTTAGATTCAATTTCAGGTCTGTCGCTCATTCACTCCCTGTTTACCGACTTAGTTAAATTTTTGCTAATAATGGTCATTTGTAAAAAAAATTCATAACATCACAGCCTCATGATATTCGGTACACAAATGCAACCCGGCCTTTCTGTCTTTGACCCATTTTTCTATTTCATAATTTTATTTTTCATAGTAGAACCAATCATTTCGTTTCATATAACCAGTCCCGGGTGCTGTTGTCCTCTTTCAAACTGCATATAATATTTCTTTATGTAGCCAGAAGTCTAAATGAATACCATTTTTCTTTATACAAAATAACTTTTTAAAAAGGATAAATGAGAATGAGTGTTTAGTTTTTGCCACGGATATCTTACACAAATAATTTACTAATTTATTGAATGTTGCGTTTTATATAACAAGAGCTGTCGGTAGGAGAGCGTGCTCGACTATTCTCAGTGTCTGTAAAACAAGAACCTGGATGATGTAGAATTTTAAGTTTAAAAAATGACCATAATTTTTCCCATGTCAAAAATCCATGTTAGAGTTATTCTGAGCCTTAGAGAGTGACCTATTATACTCTAAATGTGTGACATTTCAATTATTTTCTAAAACAAATTGTTACGCCGACGGCGGGGTGAATACAATAATTTGCTCTGCCCATTCTTTTAATAGTCGAGCTTAGAAGCTTCACACTCAAAATTTAAAGTAAATAATATGCCCTCTTATTTCATTTTGATGGAAATTTAATATGTTGAAAAATTATTGTCCGAAACCGTTTCAAATCATTTGAAATTAAGTGTTTTTTTATCCAGTTATTTTCAATTGAATTATGTAAGAACTATTTTTATAACTAACAGGCACCTGGGGAGTCGGTTCTGCGAATGTTGATGACATATACGACTTGTCTAATAAGCGCCGGCTCGGTCTGACAGAGTTCGCGGCTGTAACAGAAATGTTGAACGGAGTTCGTGCTATCAAAGAATGGGAAGAAGAACTTGTTCGCATTAACAAAACAGACAAATAGATACCATATAAACATTTTATTAAACCAAACAATAACATTATATTACGAATTTCACAATTTCCTTAAAGATATGTGTCTTCATCTTAGTACAACTTCAACTTGTACCATGTACTTTCACTATTTCTATACGTGTACCAATAATTATTACACTTACAAAAATGTATATTTTTATTTCTGCAGTAATAAAAAACACACAAAACATATAACAGAATACCGTACTAACATTTCACCAATGGTACCAATGTTTAGTGTGGTGGAGTATACTTTAATTACACTTTTTTTACTCCAGTCACAAGAAAGACTTTAATAGAGAGCACAAACACTGAAGTATAATTTCCATACTTTTATTTCGCTAACACTGTATAATTTTAAAGCCGAAAGAACACAATATACATGAATTTTGAACCTAAATACTATCCATAATAACTTGAAATCCTTAGAAGCTCTGACTCGTGACACTGAAATTTTACTTATATACCAATGAAATAATTCCCGCCAAAACACAAATATCACGAGAAAGTCAAAAAGCATGATTTATAACAAAATACTCCGCCGGATTATAACAAAGTACTCCGCCGGAGAACATATCTACAATAATGTGTTAAGGTTATGCCGGAGCATAACATTTAGTAAAACAAAATTATGAGGTCACCGGAAAAAATTACACATTTTTGGAAAGCATGTCATATAATTTCGCGATCCTCGCGACATTCCCCACAAAACATAAACAAGCAAATGTCTTTACTTGACCAATAAGTATCATTAATACAAAACAAATCAAAGCACAAATGTTTAAACAAATTGTAATACAAATACGCATCTTTTATGCGAACTAATGTCTGTTAAATGAGTGATAAAGAGTCACATAATATTTTTATAATAAACACTGTTCCTCATATTTTAATATGACAAGCAATAAATCATATATATTTAAATTTTGCAGGTATGCAACCATCCCACGACGATAATGATAATATACATTTTCTCTGTTCATTTTTAGCTCGACTTTTCTATGAAAAGGGGAGCTATCCTACTCGCCCCGCGTCGGCGTCGGCGTTGGCGTCACACCTTGGTTAAGTTTTTCGTACCACCCCACTTTATTTCAGAAGTATTACAAGTATGGCTTTGAAACTTACCATACTTGTTCACCATCATAACCTCCATCTACAGACAAGAGTACATAACTCTGTCAAGGTTTTTGACAGAATTATGGCCCTTTTTTGACTTAGAAAGTGTATTGAGCTTGGTTAAGTTTTTTGTACCACCTCACTTTATTTCAAAACCATTGGAGGTATTGCTTTGAAACTGACCATACTTGTTTACCATCACGACCTTCATCAACAGACAAGAGGACATAACTCTGTCAAGGTTTTTGACAGAATTATGCCCCTTTTTAGCTCGACTTTTCTATGAAAAGGGGAGCTATCCTACTCGCCCCGGCGTCGGCGTTGGCGTCACACCTTGGTTAAGTTTTTCGTACCACCCCACTTTATTTCAGAAGTATTACAAGTATGGCTTTGAAACTTACCATACTTGTTCACCATCATAACCTCCATCTACAGACAAGAGTACATAACTCTGTCAAGGTTTTTGACAGAATTATGGCCCTTTTTTGACTTAGAAAGTGTATTGAGCTTGGTTAAGTTTTTTGTACCACCTCACTTTATTTCAAAACCATTGGAGGTATTGCTTTGAAACTGACCATACTTGTTTACCATCACGACCTTCATCAACAGACAAGAGGACATAACTCTGTCAAGGTTTTTTGACAGAATTATGCCCCTTTTTGACTTAGAAAATACATTGAATATGGGTAAAATCCACTTATTGCCTTAACCCTTTGAGATATTGCTTTGAAACTTTTAATGCTATTTCACATCATTACCCCCATCTGTACGCAAGAGAAGGTAAACTCTGTCAAGGATTTGTTTTTAAAAATTAAGGCCTTTTATCGACTTAGAATCTTGGTTAAGTTTTTAGTACCAGTCCACTTTTTGACTGAACTGTTTGAGATATTAATTTGAAAGTTGGAATACTTGTTTACAATCATGATTCCCAAACATGTCCAGGAGAAGGTAATTCTGTCAAAGATTTTATTTGAATTAATTATGGCCCTTAACTGTCAATGTTTTGTATTATAGGCAAGCACTAAAAAACTTTGCTGCAGTGTTCAAGGGTATCACACAATTCAGTAAAATAATTCTTCACTAAATATCTTAATGCTCATGGCCATTGTTCACTTTAAAAATACAGAGATTCTTGTATTGCCTTTTACTGCAAAAACTTTTTTTATTGGCAAGCAATAAAAAAAGTCGAGCGCGCTGTCTTACGGACAGCTCTTGTTGACTTAGAAAATACATTGAATATGGGTAAAAATCCACTTATTGCCTTAACCCTTTGAGATATTGCTTTGAAACTTTTAATGCTATTTCACATCATTACCCCCATCTGTACGCAAGAGAAGGTAACTCTGTCAAGGATTTGTTTTAAAAATTAAGGCCTTTTATCGACTTAGAATTTTGGTTAAGTTTTTAGTACCAGTCCACTTTTTGACTGAACTGTTTGAGATATTAATTTGAAAGTTGGAATACTTGTTTACAATCATGAATTCCCAAACATGTCCAGGAGAAGGTAATTCTGTCAAAGATTTTATTTGAATTATGGCCCTTAACTGTCAATGTTTTGTTTATAGGCAAGCACTAAAAAACTTAAAAAAATCTAAAAAATTCATTCCTATCCACTTGTTCACTTTACCATAAATTATGTCATATAAACATTGCCCTGTAATATTCAAGGGTATCAAACAACTAGTTCACAAAAA